ACAAGATAAAATCGGAAAAAAATGAAAGTATTATTTAAAGAAAAGAAAGTAATATAATTACTTACAGGAAAGTTTCCCAATACTCTTGGAGAATTTCAAGGTCCATCGGACACAATTCCGATAGTAGAACGGGAAACCCAGGCCTAACATCAAATGAGTGAACGAGTCTGGAACGGAAATTTCTCATATCAGAAAAAGTTAAACTAAATCGGGTGGAAGAAATAATTTCAATCTGGACAGAGTAATTTCTCATTGTATGATAAATAATTGAGATTTTACAGTTACAGTTTATGAGTTTTATGACGCCCATTATGTACTAATACTCATTAAATTAAAGTTAATGTTATTGTGAAAGGTGTCGATTATTGCATGTGTTAAACATTAAATAAGGTGAAGGGATTATTACTTGGCGTATTCCATAATGAGTTAAACTAAATCGGATGAAATAAATAAGTTCAATCTGTAGGCCTACAGCGTAATTTTTCATTATAATCATAATAATTGAAATTTTACAGTTACAGTTTATGACGTTTATATCCATCCAGTATGTACTGGTACTCATTAAATTTAACATAATGATGTTGTGCAAGATGCTGATTGTTGTATGTGTCAAACATTTAACGAGGTGAAGAGATTATTACTTGGTGATGCATAAAGGACATGCGTGTTTCATAGGTATCCAAGCTTACAAATTAACCAACATATTAAATTGTTTGTATTCATCTGATAAAATACCTTAAGATAAATTTGCTGTCTATCCTCTTCATAAAAGAAACTTCCTTGTAGATGGACCTTGCATAGGCCTCAGAGGTAGGCACCTTCAATGCCAGGTTGTTTTTAAACTAAACACAAAATATTTCGAACGGTTACCGGGATGTCACTTTCGTAAACAATATAATAGCAAAATAAACTGGTAACATTACTACAGGATTAATCACAGTAAACATATATTGTTCTGCTGCTACTGCTTTAAAATCTTAAACTACAATTACTGTCATGACTGTGTTCTTATGCTACTACTATTGCTACTCCCTCTATCCCAGCATCACTTTAGTTTGTTTATCATGATAAGTTCAATACCTTGTACACAGAACCGAATCCTCCACCTCCCAAAATCGGAAGCATCGTGTCTTTCTTCCAGAAAAGGGCCCGGACCTTACATTTACATTGAAGAAAGGGAAATTGAAATAGACACTTAAATAAAACGGCACGATTACTTTGATTAATTAGAAACAAAGTTATAAATATCTTTTCGGGGTGAAGTAGGACTACAGATATATTGATAATAACAGTTGAGTTTTTGATTTTTGTTCTGCTAAAAAAATAAATATCTTACCTCGTTCTCGAGTCTGAATATGTCTCTGTGAAAAATGTACATGTAACTGTATTTCATGCCTAAAAAGGCCAAATGCGACGCAACTATCATTGCGTATATCGTCTATTTTACTCAAAAGAAAATCGCTGTATTCAGCTTGCGCGCAGCATATCTCCAATAGCTTTTGTGCTACCTGGTAACGGCAGCACGGGCCAGTGACGTCACAATATGTTTTGCCTTTTAAGGACATATATCTATCACGTGAAATACGCATGCGCCCAAAAATGGGAAATGGGCGTTTTTTCATGCTAACAGCTATAAGGTTGAAAGTAGGCCTAATTTGTAACTGCCCAAAGCAGCAAATGATTAACGCAATATTCTATACCGACTTGTAACTTGCTTACAGGTGAAATACGCCTTCCATTTGAAGAAACTTTGAAATTCTCTGTTTAAAAGAAAAAAAAAAAAAACTTGGGGGTTTCTGTTTAGCAGTGCTTTGATAGGTTTAGGCCCCTTTTTTTAATAGGCCTAAATGAAAGGGGTTAGGCTAAATATAAACACGTTCGACTTAAAGTTAATATAGATCACAAGATACGAAATAAATTATGTCGTGTATATTGAAAAAGAATATCCGAAAGTGTCGAGAATACGGCCCCAGAGTGGTAGAAAGAAAGTTTTTATTTTTGCGGAAAATAATGAATTTCGAATAATAAAAGTTGCAACATGACCATTAGATCTAGTTTCTTTGTGAAAAGTTCTCTGTTGGTTACGGTGCAGTAGGCTTTCATAAGTCAACTAGTCAATTGAAGTTTTTTTTTTTTTTTTAACACGGGGTCATTTTTACTAACTTGATATCAAATTGGGAAATAGTTATGCAAATCATCAATGTTTAATAATGTTTTCAAAATTTATTAGGGGCCCATATTCCGTGAACAATGCTGGCTATTCGACAAATTAGTCGTCTTGTATAGATAATCGTGTTCATTTACAACTAGAAAATAGCTCAATAGTTCATAAAACAATGAATAGTAAAAGCCATGAAATATAAGAATAGCAAGGCATCAACATTCTTGTCGGCTCCCCCTATAGCTGATGAACCTACCAGCTTTTCCAATCCTGCTAGATTCTGTTTTGTTCTTTCTAAGCATTTGTTCTACTACACTGTAGGTTCTGGTGGGTTCCCACAAGGCCGGACGCCAGACTCATCACAGAGTTGGGGGCCAGAACGGTATTGATGAAGAACGAATCGAGCACCTGGCCAAAGTTTGCCCGTTGAAGTACGTGGAGCTAGAGCCTGGTAAGGATGTCCTAATCTGAGCACAAATTTATTCACACAAACACACGCGCGCACACGTGCGAGTATATTATGTCAAAATCGGTCGAAATCAATTCAGTTGCAATACTCAATACTTAAGTGCCAACTACCTCGTTTATTTCGGTCTTAACATTAATGTAATTGTCTTGACTTTTTTTTCTTATTTTATATACATCGCCTATTCGGTCACTTTCACTGTACATGTAAGTACATGTAAGTGAAATGCTGATGTTTGAGAAATAAATGAGGAACCATAGTTATTTCCCTTACTTATATAGGAGATGCTTTGATCTTCAACGCCAACTTGATCCATAAGAGCGACGCCAACAACAGTAACAAGCGGCGGTGGTCGTTCCTCGTTTCGTACAACACCAAGGAAAACAACCCGGTGTACGTTCATCATCATGCCCAGTATACGCCTTTAGATGTGGTACGTCAAGTCATTGTGGTCTTTTTTAAATAAAAATAACCTGGAAAGTTTTTCGGATTGCTCACGAATATCAAATCCATTTCATATTCACAGTTCGCAAGAACACAGTTCATTCATTAATTTTCATTGAATTCAGATAGAATCCGAATACGCAAGATAACATTTACTTTAGCGTTTGTATGTTCAATTCTACAAATTCTGCCATTAGGACGGGTAGCAAAGTTACAGGTATGAATTTGAGGGTTGCACCTGTTTAACTGCTAATTCAAATTAACAAAAAAAAACTTTTATGGTAAGAATTCAATTGTTCTTAGAGAAGCAAAACGTATTTTTACGTCAGAAAGAGGCAATGGCTCTTTGACACTCCATGACTGACTCGTGATTGACAATCCTTTTTAACTAACGTCATTTCTATGTTGTAGGTTCCTAATTCCGCCATTAAAGCCTGCGCCAACTTCACAGACATGACGGGGAAGGAATTTCTGGACCCGTCCATTGACAAGACCGTCATCGCAGATAAAAGTAACCCTGTGAAAATACCAAAGACTAGCGAATAATCCTTTGAAGTGAAGGAAAACCAAAATCAAAGCGAAGTTAATTTTTTTAAACATTTGACTAAAATTATATGGCAGAATCAGGAGCATAGGCAGCTACTTTTAAAGAGTGGAAGGAAGGTTCAAAATAAAGAGGGCGACAAAAAATATTTGCTGGAAATTCAATATCGGTTGACTTAATGTTTTAATGATTTATTTTAATTTTTAACATATAGCTTAAAGAGTTGATAGGCGNCTTCAGTGCTAGGTTGTTTTTAAACTAAATATAAAATATTTCGAACGGTTACAGGGATGTCACATCCGTAAACAATAATAGCAAAGATAAACTGGTAACATTACTACATAACTTAATATAACATAAATATATTTTGTTCTGCTGCTACTACTTTCAAATCTAATACTATAATTACTGTCATGACTGTGTGTACTTATGCTACTACTACTATTGCTACTCCCGCTATCCCAGTATCACTTTAGTTTGTTTTATCATGATAAGTTCAATACCTTGTACACTGAACCGAATCCTCCACCTCCCAAAATCGGAAGCATCGTGTCTTCCTTCCAAAAAAGCGCCCGAACCTTAAACAATGAAGATAGGGAAATTGATAAAAAGTGTACCTAATATTGAAATAGATACTTAAATAAAACGGCCCGATTACTTTCAAAACTAAGCTTTAAAGACGCTCATTTTGATTAATAAGAAACTAAGTTATAAATATCTGTGCGGGGGTGAAGTACAGATATATTGATACCAACAGTTCAGTTTTTGATTTTTGTTCTGCTAAAAAGAAATATCTTACCTCGTTCTCGAGTCTGAATATTTCTCTGTGAAAAATGTACATGTAACTGTATTTCATGCCTAAAAAGGCTAAATGCGACGCAACTATCATTGCGTATCGTCTATTTTACTCAAAAGAAAATCACTGTATTCACTTTGCTTGCGCGCAGCATATCTCCAATAGCTTTTGTGCTACCTGGTAACGTCAGCACGGGCAAATGACGTCACAATATGTTTTACCTTTTAAGGATATATATATCTATCACGTGAAATACGCATGCGCCTTAAATGGGAAATGGGCGTTTTTTCATGATAAAATTTATAAGGTTGAAAGTAGGCCTATATCGTTACTGCCCAAAGCAGCAAATGATTTTGATAAACGCAATATTCTATACCGACTTGTAACTTGCTTTCAGGTGAAATACGCCTTCGATTTGAAGAAACGTTGAAATTCTCTGTTTAAAAGAAAAAAAAAAACATGGGGTTTTTGTTTAACGGTGCTTTGGTAGGCTTATCTTTTTTTAATAGGCTTAAATGAAAGGGGTTAGGCTAAATATAAACACGTTTGACATAAAAGTCAATATAGATCACAAGATATGAAATTAATTATGTCGTGTATATTGAAAGTGTGGAGAATACGGCTCCAGAGTGGTAGGCCTAGAAGGAAAGTTTACTTTTGCGGGAAATAATGACATGGTGTAGGCCTAAATTTCAAATAATAAAAAGTGCAAAATGACCATTAGATCTAGTTTCTTTGTGAAACGCTCTCTGTTGGCTACGTTGCAGTAGGCTTTCATAAGTCAACTAGTTCTTTCTAAGCATTTGTTCTACTACCTTTAGGTTCTGGTGGGTTCCCACAAGGCCGGACGCCAGAATCATCACAGAGTTGGGGGCCAGAACGGCATTGATGAAGAACGAATCGAGCACCTGGCCAAAGTTTGCCCGTTGAAGTACGTGGAGTTAGAGCCTGGTAAGGGTGTCCTTATCTAAACACAAAAAAATTCACCTTATTCACACCCACCCACCCACAAACACACACACACGCGCGCACACACACACACACACACACACGCATGCACACGCGTAGATTATGTCAAAATCGGTCGGAAACGATTCAGTTGGAATATTCAAACAGTACTTAAGTGCCAACTACCTCGTTTATTTCGGTCTTAAAACTAATGTATTTGTCTTGACTTTTTTTTTCTTTTTTACATACATCGCCTATTTGGTCACTTAAACTGAACATGTGCTACATGTACGTACTTGTGTATAAATTGCTCGTAAAACCTTTATAGAACAATGTCGCATGGTCGATTTTACGCATTCAGGTATCTGTCAGGTATCTAGGTTTGACAGACATAATAAAGCCTTTTTATTGAAGTAGTTGAAATTTTAAAACAAACATATATTTCATTTTTGTTTCTTTTTGGAATAAATACATGTATATTTTTTGGAGCTTTTGGGGATAGCTTTGAATTAAAATGCTGGTCATCTATTGGGTAACTAAGTGAAATGTTGTTGTTTGAGAAATAAATGAGGAACCATAGTCATTTCCCTTACTTATATAGGAGATGCTTTGATTTTCCACGCCAACTTGATCCATAAGAGCGACGCCAACAACAGTAACAAGCGGCGGTGGTCGTTCCTTGTTTCTTACAACACCAAGGAAAACAACCCGGTGTACGTTCATCATCATGCCCAGTACACGCCCTTAGATGTGGTACGTCAAGATAAAAATAACCTGGAAAGATTTTGGATAGTTCACGAATATCAAACCTATTTCATATTCACAGTTCGCAAACACGCTGCTCAATCATCAATTTTTATTGAATTCAGATAGAATCTGAATATGCAAGAATAAATTTAATTTATCGTTTGTACATTAATTTTACAAATTCCGTCATTAGGAGAGTTACATGTGTTACCACCAGTTTAATTGCTAATTCAAATCAGATAATACCAGAGTACTCTAACAGCATCATTTATGGTAAGAATTCAATTATTTTCAGAGAGGCAAAACGTGTTTTCACGTAGGAAATAGCCCTTTTACACTCCGTCTAATAGCGTTGATCACATGACTGACTCGTGATGGACAAACCTTTTTAACTAACATCATTTCTATGTTGTAGGTTCCTAATTCCGCCATTAAAACCTGCACCAACTTCACAGACATGACGGGGAAGGAATTTGTGGACCCGTCCATTGACAAGACTGTCATCGCCGATAAAACTAACCCTGTGAAAATACCAAAGACTAGCGAATAACCCTTTGAAGTGAAGGAAAACCAAAATCAAAGCGAAGTTAATTTTTTTAAACATTTGACTAGAATTATTTACCAGAATCGGGAGCATAGGCAGCAACTTTTTAAGGGAGGAGGGAGGGTTCAAAATTACGAGGGGTGGGGGGGGCGACAAAAAATATGTGCTTGAAATACGATATCGGTTGACCTAATATTTTAATGATTTATTTTAATTTTTAACATTTAGCTTAAAGAGTTGAGAGGCGCACAGTGTCCTTCAGACAATGGAAAAAAATCTCTGCCAGGTTTTGAACCAGAGATCCATTGTGTTACTGCCGGTGGAGGTTTCTAGGAATATATCTTGACTATTTTAATATTCCAGTGGTTTTCACTCATTTTTGCGTTGAAATAATAGCTGATGGATTTTAAAACTTGAAAGCGGGCTCAGAATGCTTAAATAAAGATATTGCAAAAGTTAGAAAATGTTTTTCTGTCTGCTCATAGCAAATGTGAAAACGCGGACAAAAGGGTTTCCCTGTGGGCGTTGAAGCCATCCCTTTGTAGCGGAGTGTTTAAGATATCCAAGTTGGTGGAAATCAGTTTTAAAACAGGCGACTGCAACATCATATAATATTTACTAGGCTTTATTGTAAAAACGAGACATGCATGTAATTATGCTGTTCTGGGTAAAGAAATATGCAGACAGCAACAAGTCACGTTTGGCTCGGTGGTACAGTAGTAATGCATCTAAATAATGATCCAGTGGCTGCTGCCCAGAGATGCCACTTTGATTCCGACTGAGGGCAGCAATTAGTGTTTGGTAGGTAGTTATGTGTCTGTGTGAATGATGGAGGGTCGACACATGGATGGAACTGGTGAATTCAGAATGTGTTGAAGATTATGAGTTTTTTCACTATTTACCGCGAATCACAACTTTTAAAGAGTGGTTGTCTGTGAGAATCCTACATACTGCACCTTGACTAAAAAACAGACTCCCTTCCTTTTTAGGCCAGAAATAGCCTTTCGTCCCAACCCTCCAAACCAGCAAAAGAGTAAAACTTGATTTTTGATCAATTGTGCAAAACCAGGGAACTGGGAACGTTGAAACTGATGCATTCCGTTGTCCCAATTTCCTAAACTTTAGAGCACGTACGGATGAATCAAATTTATGTTACCTTAAAATTGACAGATATTGCAGTCTATTTAAATCTTTTCATAAATTCAATGTATCAGATTCCACGTCCTTGGAATACAAGTAAACGTTTAATTAAAAATATTCGTTATAATAGCACAACTTGACAGTTGTTTAAATTTTCAATGCAACAGACCAAGTCACGTTTTGATTTTCAAATGTTCTGTTGGAAGAGGTTATCATTGAAAGAAGCCAATTTGTTTGATAAAATATAACAACCATTGGATGTGTAGTCTAGATTTTTATTACTGAGTCCTCAGTAGAAAATTGTCAAAATATAGACAGCAAACCTGATAAAAATCTTTTGAGATATGAAATTGAGTTTATTTTGATAAAATCACTTTCCATTTCTACCATTAAAAGATGCCCACTTTTTTAATTTAAAAGAAATTACTTAGGACTTAACTAAAAAATCTGATCATTCAATAGAACGTTAGCAGGTTATATACCTAAATGATATATTTTGAAAACGATGAAACTGTGACATTTCAAGTCCAATAATCCGTATAAATTAATAAAATTATAGTCTTTGTATACCTTGGGCACTTGGATATGGAATTTTTGTTTCAAGTTTTATAAAAAATATTTTAATTTTACGAATGAGGCAATGATCATTAGTACTGGCTGATACAAAAGAAAAAAAATCTGTTCTACAACTTTTTTCAAGATAAACAATAATCTGAACTGACAAATTATTCAGAGTCTACTGTGTTGGGATTGTAAAATCAACATTGCATAACATAAGCAATTATTTCATCTGCTTAAACTTTTTGGAAACTGAAACAAGCTGTTTTTTGATAATGGCTCCTGTATATTATGTTCATTATGCTGGCACATTAGCTATTGCTGGTAATATCTCACAATAGATGTCTATTCCTCTTAGAAAGATGTTCTCATTCAGGAATTCATTGTGGTCATGAAGTAGGATAGGGGTGTTGTTCATTGGAGAGAAACCCAGAGCTGGAAGGCCTCCCTAAAATGAAGAATAATGAATCATTTACAAGAGCAGATTTAATGTGCTACAATTCAAAAGCAAAAACAATTATGACTGCAAAAACAAGATTCATAGAATTACAACTGGATTATGAGCAAGATGTGGCAAATTTCAAGCAAGCAAATCAATTAACTGATAAATCAATCAACTATTGCTTTCTCTATTAAATTTTACACAGAAGATGATTGTCCTAAAAGGGACAAAAAGCCCTGCATTTCTGGCACTTATAATTACATTTCCGGCTAAGACATTTCATTTCCAATTCTAAATGTCAATTTTTAACTAAATAAACATCCTAAATACATTCAACTTTTAAGATAACATTTATTCAGTTAAATCATTATTCTCTACAACATTGTTATCTATTTATCAGTATTTTTATTAAAATGATTTCTTACAGCTCTTATATATCTACTGTCTGTTGCAGCAGGAAAGACCTCAGTTTTAATCTGCAGTCCCCTGTAAAACCAAGCAAACAAAATCAATAAAAAGCACTATGGAATGTACTTGCAAAAAGCTTACTGCTCTTAGATAATTAATGTCACTTCCAGCAGGAAATACCTCAGCTTTTACTTGTAAGCTCCTAAAATGTACAGAGATATACAACTGCCATATGGAACACACCAAACTGTCATGTACAGCTAACACAATCAGCTATCACATCTAACACAATCTTTAATATCAGCTAACACAATCAGCTGTCACACCTAACACAATCACTTAAAATAGCTAACACAACCATCATATTTGCGTCCATTAATAAAATTACAAAAAACACAAAAGACTTACAATGACAGAATTATTGATGACATTAAAGAATAAGAAGTGTAAATGTCATAAGAAAAATAATGGCTAATTCAGAATTTTTTCATGAAAAGTGTGTGTGGGAGTGTGTTGGTTTGAAAGAGAGAGAGCAGATATGTTGTACTCAATGAAAACTAATACTCAAACTGTTCCCTACATGGAATCACAAGCACCCTTGAAGGCCATCCACCATGGATTGGTGTCATCAGTGGAGGTGACAGCTTGGCACATGTTTTTCTGAAAATAAAAAGAATGATTGTAAGTACATACCTGCATGTTTCCTTTACCTACAAAACTCCCTGGTGGACTTTCTAAATCAATAAATTTGCATGCTTTTTAGTCATGTAACTTCAGTAACAAAGCAAGATACATTGTGTATCTACCAGTACTATTGAGGTGCAGTCAGAATATTGAGAAGTGGGCAAGCAGGTTTTTCATTGTCCTAAAATACCATTATAAACATGCAAGACTGCTGTGTTTTTTCTTCAGCATTAACCCCGAATGCTAAAAAAAATTAATATATATATATTAATTATATATATATAATTTACCTGTAAAAATTTCATCGTTATATTCTCTCCAGCTTCCTTCAGCCATTGGTTAATTTCAGCCTCTAGTTCTGAGAGGTTTTGAGATGGCGTAATACGCATGTCAAAGGCTAAAATCAAATAAAACATACTCTTCAAAGTTAAAAATAATGAAATAATGTGGTTTCTTTTCATGGAGAAACTTTAAAATAATGAAAATATGTGATGGTTTCATTTCATGGAGGAAAAAATTCAATTTGTGTTCTTCTTTATACACAAGTGGTTGCTTTTAACTCTTTACAGTGTTTCTTTTGGCATAACATTAAGCAAAAAAGAAATGAGTAAACAACAAATAAGAGAGCTGAGAGTAAGAAAAACAAGAAATCAAGGGACTGGAAAGCCATATATGATACAGGCACCACTGGATGAATATTTAAGAGATAAAATCCTATATTATTAAGGACCAGGAGGTCATATTTGATAAAAACAATTAGACTCCGTTCACATGAAAAATCTATTTTTCTAAAAATCTATTTTCTATTCGCGGTATCTTGTGATCACTCCGAGCCCAGCTGAGAATTAATTACAGCTTTGGAAGTAACTGGCCTGCGCTACCAGTAATTACGCCGTGGGGTATTCAGGGCACAGACCGTGATCACAAGATACCGCAAATAGAAAAGAGATTCTTAGAAAATAGACTTTTCATGTGAACGGAGTCATACATTGTATATGTAACTAAGACAGACAGAACTGCCCGTAAAAGCCAATGTTAAAAGCCATAATGAAAGACAGACTTCATCAGATATGTAAGAAAAAGACAGAAACTGTCTATATTGAGTTTTATTGTGCTATAAATTTAGTCATATCTGAAACGGACTTGAGCTGAAGTAATTAAATTTAGTAACTCACTTGCTGTCATTTCTGATGGCACAACATTGGGTTGGACTCCACCCTTAATGAAATGAGACAAAACATTAAAGACAGACAGAAACAACACCATGATAACAGTTGCAATTATCAAAATATTACATACATTACCAATATTATTAATGACATTATTATCACCATCATCATTTCTACTAATAAGAATACAATCATTACAAAAATGTAGGTGCAGCACTTTATTTGATGACATAGGAAACACATATTTCTAATTTTCTTTTGGTCAAAGTATACCATTGCTGGTTTATTTTTGAAATTTACATTCCAGCATAAGACTGAAGAAAAGATAAATAAATCAATAAATATTGATTGTAACTTAGACACTGACCAGTACTCACATGTACTAGTGCTGGCAAAAATGTACAGATACAATAATACTAGTCTAGCTAGGCATTAATCTATATAACAGCAGAATTAAGATAAATGTATGTTACTAATGCAACTTTCCCTACATAAAAAGTGACTTGATGCAGTTCAGTGATGAGAAAAACTTCCTTTTGGCAGAGGACTGTTGTTTCAATATGGCCAGAACTATGACAGCAGGCTTTTTCTCACAATTTATAAATTTTTCTTTGTTGCAACTAACCCTCTCCCTGGCTTATTTACCTTAACAAGGGTAAAGTTCACGGTGTTCACGCTCCCAATACCAATCTGAGGGTTAGATTTCAGACTGAAAGAGATTATCAAAGATTCTGTGTGCTTTATCATGAAAACTGTTGACTGTAAAGTTTCAATAAAATTTAATATGCTGTAGTCCATGCATCAGTAGTCTCAATATATATGTTACCCATTCATGAAGTCTACATTCCCTCCCCCTTCTTACCCATATCCTTTTATATTTTAACATAATCAAAACATTTGTATTGAATTATACTTGAATCTTTCTTTCTTTTCTACAAAATTTAAAGATGAATGTATACTAACATCTTTTCCTGCTGGGCTCGATAGTCCAGGAATGAATTGATCACCCTCCTCTAGAAATAGAAATGCTTCTTTGAAATCCAATTCAATTCAAAATTTTAGTGTTCACCAGTATAAAGTTCCCTCAAAACATTAAGTAGTTTTAATTATTTTGTTTTGAGACTGATAACCAATATACATATTTATTAGACAATTTCAAAGACACGTCAACTTCACTGGTTGTCCAGACTACAATTCTACACCAAACGTTTTTTTATTATGGTGAGAAATGATGATGAATTTTGGTAAAAATGAAAAAAATTACCTAAAAAAGTACAGTTAAAACAGTCTAACATGAAGCATAACCAACTGGCTGAATGCAGTCATCAATTTTGCACCAACTTAGAAAATGAATAAAATTTCATAGAAAACAAACCAGGGCGTCTCCTGGAGTTAGTATTCTTACCAGTTTCTCTGCCGCTGTATTCTCTATGAAGGCTGAGCCATGTCCTGGTTGTCCAGTGCAAGTAACCTGCATCCCTGCAACCACAATGAAGTCAACATTAAGGCACAAATTAATAATAATCTTTAATGGAGAATCGCAACCCGAAGGTTGAAGTTATACAGTTATGTTATACAATTATGTATGAATATTCAAGTCAAGGAAGCCTGGTCATTTTTGCACTGGTGCACTCCGTAGACGGTCTCACCTCCCTGGGGAGCATACAGCTGGGCTGCCATATTAGGCGCTCATAGCTAATATATCATTTCTGCACTGCCTGACCAGGCCCCTGCTTCAACCCCTTAGTGCTGAGTGCCAAGCGGGGAGACAGCAGGTACCGTTTATAAAGGACTGGTATGTCCCCGGAAGGGTTTTGAACCCACGTCCTCCCGCTCCGAAGGCGGACACTCTAACCACAAGGCCATCCGGTCGGTCAAAGCTGAACTGAAGCCCACAATTCAATATGTCTTTAATATGATAAACAGATCGATGGACATTTTGGTGGTTATGGATGCTCAAATAACAGTGATGATGGCAGTTACTTCTAACTAATGCACAATGTCTCTCTCTCTCTCTCTCTCTCTCTCTCTCAAGGTGAAGTTGAAGCCTCATTCTGGGCATCTACAATCATAAGTAGGTTAGAAAACCCTAGAAGGATCACCACATTCTAAATGTAATATTACAATTTGCTGCATTAACTGAAACTCATTAAAAGGGTCAACATAAAAACATTGGGAACATGTCAGATTGTCAAATCCATTTCTGGTACTTAAACATGCCAACAAGCCTATAGCTGCCATACCTGTATTTCACATAATAGTGGCTCCTGCTTAAAGGGATAATAACTCTTCATTTTGGCCAAAAAATGAATTTTCCTGGAGTAAACAACAATTTTCCCATACTTACCAATGGTTAATGAATCCATTTTTACATTCAAAGTTAGTCCCTGGTTTTTTTCTAAAAAGTTTGGTTTTTTGTTAAAATCTCTTAAGAGATTATAACAGAGTATAGCCATCAATGGAGGTCACGTAATCCGAAGACAAGCTCAGATGTCAGAATAATAGCTATAACTGCTGTTTTTGTCGTAAAACAGAATATATTATATTTATATGAGTTATTCACAATGTTTTTATTGTGAAATATAGATCTCATACGAAGAGTTATTATCCCTTTAAGTAGACACCTTTGCTTTAATAGAGCCCCTACCCTCACCCCCACCCCCCTCATTGGTAGGGGGTGAAAGTATGGTATGTTACTTACACCATGGTGCTCTTTCAGCATAGTAAACTTTGAAGTCTGGACCTTCATTTGCCAACCCTAAAACAGTAATTCTATATCCAGTGACTGGATAATCAACAGTAAGATATCAAATATTAAATAACGTACATTACGACTATGTAATAAAATATCTTATGAAGAGCATGTATTCATACATCTGTGAACACACTTAAACAATTGACTCATTAAAAATTTACAATTAAATAACTGAAAATCATCAATAAATAATCAATCACAAAATTAATAACAGAAACATTTTATAATGGTATCATGTCTATGCTTTCAAACACACACACACACACACACACACACACACACGCACACACACACACCACAATATTATCATCTTGCATACCTTCATCCATGGCAAAGGCCACGTTCAACTTCTTAAAATCTTCATGATCAACAAAGAGCTCCATTCCTCTGTGACCTCCTACCTCTTCATCTGGATATAATGTGAAATATATATGAAAGTTTTAATTTGAACACCAGAAAATATGAGCAATCTGTGACTTTGGGCAAACTGTGATATTTCCACAACCTAAATTATTTTATCCTTCTTAAAATTGGTATATTCTTCATGTGTAAAATGTGGAAGAAAACAGTACACTTATTAATATTATCATCTCCCATGAATTAAAATGGTGTATCAAGAGGCAAAAAAGTTTAATGGAGGGAGCAAAGATGCTTCAAAAGCACTGTAAAACAATGCAGAACTGCCCTTTAGATAAGTCAATGAATATGAGACATGACAACTTTCAGTGGTCAGTGGGCATTTATAGCTGGGCAAATGTGCAACTATGTGCAACTATCATTTTTTTTTTTAATAAATAATATTTTTTGCAACAAATAGGACATGAGTTACACATTAAAAAAAAAAAGATTTTTAAAATGCAAAAGAACAACAAGATGAAACATTAAAATTTTAAATCCAAGTTACAAGTAAAAAGAAATCAGGTATCTATATATAATACAACTTGGCACAACTTGGCACGAAAAAAAACTATATAAAAATTACATTTCAAATCAATTAATAATAATAAAATTCCTTATGCTCTTACCTGGCACAAATGAGATGTGAATGGTTCTCAGAAGTTTAACACCTTTGCTTTGAAGCTTTCTTATAGCTTCCAAGTACCTGTGCACAATAAATAGTGAAAACGTTATATGATGGTGTTCAGTGTATCATTGTGTTAGATGTGATGCAGCATTCGTTGGTGTGGTTAGATGTGACAGAAAGTTACAAGAGATAGCATGTAGAAAATTGCTGAGAACTAATTAATTGTACTTTTCTATAAAAATACGAGAGAGAGAATAGAAAATACATAACATCCTCTCCATGTTCTGTTAGCTAGATGCCAATCTGTATCGCACTGATTGCAATATGCCTATGTGCAACTTGCATAGGATTTGAGTTAAATATTTAGTTTTGATTATTGAGAGATAACTTACTGTATTCCAACACATTTCATGTCCTGAAAATAAATACATAAGTTCATCATTGCATGAAATTTAAAATAACTAAATACATGACCATGCAAATCTCACTGAAATGGTTCAAATATCTTTCTCTTCTGTTTGATTCTAAAAAGCTACAGTACTACAAAACAAGGCAGCAAAGCTGTCAAATGTACAGACAAAAAGCAGGAAATAACTA